CATCTTCTCCTTCACCCGCGAGTCAATCCTCAAGCTAAAGTCAACGGTCAACTCCCCGGTCAACTCCGCCGAGCTCATGGGCAAGCATAGCAACGACACTCCCGACCGGAGGCCACGTGAAATCTCGTCATTCCAGTCGCTCTGCGGTCTGGTCTGGCGCGCCATCACGCGGGCCCGAAAACTCGATCCTGCCCGAATAACGACGTTCCGGATGGCGGTCAACTGTCGCGGGCGGCTCGACCCGCGGCTCGATCCGCTCTACTTCGGGAACGCCATCCAGAGCATCGCCACCGAGGCGGCCGCCGGAGACGTGGTCGGGCCCGGGCTCGGCCCGCGGTGGTGCGCGGAGAGGCTCGGGATGGGCGTGGCGGCGTACGGGGACAAAGCCGTGAGGGGTTACGTGGAGGATTGGGAACGAGAACCGAGGTGTTTTCCGCTCGGGAACCGAGACGGTGCCACGATCACGATGGGGAGCTCGCCGAGGTTTCCGATGTACGATAACGACTTCGGGTGGGGCCCGCCGGTGTCCGTGAGGAGCGGGCGGGCAAACAAGTTCGACGGGAAGATATCGGCGTTTCCAGGTAGGGAAGGGGGAGGGTCGGTTGACCTAGAGGTGGTGCTGGCGCCCGAGACGATGGCCGGGTTGGAGACCGACCCGGAGTTCATGGAGTATGTCTCGAGTCGATAATTTGGGTTTTCGGGTTGGAAATGAAATTTGGTTTTTCAGTTACGAATGTGTTTGTTTGGAAACACTTTTATAATGGGCATTTGGATGTAAAAGTCTATTCGGATGAATAATTCATATTCGAAGATAAATTTAAAATGGATTTATGGATAAGTTAGATTCTTTAAAAAGTACATTCTATAAAACTAAAAAAAGATGTAAAAGTACATTTCATAGAACTACATTTAATAAATGGAGTTATACTCACTTGGTATAGTTAATTTGATCAAGAGATGGAACGGGAAATGGGCTTGGATAGAATATAGATGTAGGGAAAGAAAGTGGTATTTGGCTTGGACTTTCAACGTTGTAATTTTGTAACTTATGTTATTATTTTCAAAGTGCTTTTTTGGGTTTCTAGTTCTTTGTGATGTTTACTTGAGTTGACATATATATTATGTTTTGAGCTCCTACTTGTTTAATAAATGTGTCGATTTGATTATTTTAAGTACGTGAAAAATTTGTTCGACTCCACTTGTTTAACAAGTGAAATGCTTGCAAACGAATTTGACTAAATTGTTTTATATAAAATTCTTAAACACAACTAGTTGGTTTGCGAACAAGCTTAACTCGACTCGATTTGTTTAATAGATGAGATTAATTAGCTGCTGAAACTCAACTCGTTTAAATAAATAAATTAACAAGCTGAACTAGAGCTATAGCTTTACAAGAGTGTGTCTACTAGAGCATCCAACTCTATAGAATGTGAATTAGCATGGTAATCAAAATTATCTACATTACAAGTATTAAATTTGAATGTCACTACTATTCGTATAAAAATGTTTGGAAATGGTACTCTTAGGCCTCTTTTATTTTAGTGGATAGGATAGAATAATTATAATTATCCAAGATTAGCTGATGTTTACTTCGTAGGATTATAATAGGATTTATCTTATGTGGCGTACACGCGGCATGTGAGCCCCACAAACTTATTATTTATTGGCTAATAGCTCCGTCCCGGCTACTCCCTAGGATTGTGTTATCCCAAGCCCACTTTGACCATTTTGCCTTCATTTTTGTTTGCCAAAAGACACGAATATCCCCCAATGTCAGATTATTTACCGTGAATGGAAGGGTGAATTAGACATTTCAAGTTATATCATCTCATTTAGTCCATAGTAGTAAATGCTTGATTAATTGCAGAATTTTGCATCCCATAATGTAAACATTAAATAAAATGGTGAAATGTAAAGTTGATTGGACTATAATGTCCAATCCCGTCCAATAAAATAAATGAGGCCTTACAAATAACAGCTGCTCATAACGGTGCCCTTTTAGAGGTTTAAATAAATATTAAATAGTTTATATTCTTTGTTTTTTAAGCTTTTACATATGATGTGGTTATTAAAGAACATTAGTACAGAGCCCGTGCGATGCACGGGGTGCACAATTTTAAGGCTATTTATCCAGGCTTATAATTATATACATGAATAAAGAAAAATGTACGGGATATATATAGTACGTGACCCGTGCGAAGCACGAGATATATTTATTTGGAGAATATTATATTATAAGATGCAATATTCAATAAAAGTTTATAATACGCAAGAAAATTGTACAATGTTCAAATACCCGTGCGAAGCACGAGATATATTTATTTGTTTTATGATTTGATAATATAAACAAATCTATACCTAACTTTGACAAATAAAACAAATAAATATTTTAGTAAGTATTTAATGTATATACTAAATAGGAATATATTTAGTATAATCAAATACCAAATATAATCAAATAAGTCAAAGTGTACATTTTTATTTGGTATTTGACTTTTTTATTATTAAAATATTTTTATTATACTTACTTTTTTAAAATAAAACAAATAAATAAATCAATTAAATAAATAAAATATTATAATACCAAAATAATAATGACATTTAATGCAGTTGACTTTTCTGGATAGTAAATGTAGTAAATAGAATCTCCTTTTATATAAGTATAGATTGTATAATACGGAAATAGTAAGGCAATAAATGTTGTTGACTTTTCTTTATACTAAATCTGGTAAATGGTATACCTTTTAATATAAGTATAGATTTAAAAAATGAGCAAATGTGCCCTCTTGCAATTGATAGTATATATACCCACTTGCATTTTTATTTTTGGTAAATAAATGTAATATATGCATATACCAATTTTAGCATACCAACAAATTAAATCTCTAGTGTTAGATANACACATTTTTTAGATAATATTTTATGCATATAAATATACATACATAAAATTTGTGATATGACGGATTAAATGGATATATTCTCCTAGTGTTAGATACAAATTAAATTGTTGGTGACATATATGGTATTTGATGGAAGTATATGCCACAATGATTTGTCTAATGATGACCTCCAGTGTGTTTTTTATTGTATGGTTTTGTCTCAAGTAGCTGAAAGTCAAATAGGGTACTCTTTTTTATAGCTTTTTTGTGCATGTTAAGTTGACTTAGTAATGAGGGGTGTGCATAAAATAAACATTGATTGATCCATCAAATTGCAACAATAAAACAAGAATTATAGGTATCAAACATTCAAAAAGTTCCAATCAGATGTTATTAGACCACACATTGAGATTGAAATGCGTCTAGATTCAATAAATCTATGTAATTAAAAAGAAATGGATTCTATCATATGTTATTAGTCTAAGGTATAAATATATTATTGCCCAACAACTAGTTTTATTGAATTAAATTAACAATGGGTGGTTAGCAGTTAGAATGTGAATTCATGTTAGTTATGTGTTTGATCCAACAAAATTAAAATATGAAAACAAGAAACAAAGTAGAAATACTGTTGTTGGATTGTGAAATCATTAAACCAATTGACTTGTCATAATTTTTGAATAAAAAAATATAGTTTTATTGTGAAATGTTCTATTTTAGCTTATATTGTTTTTTAGAATGCAATATTCAATTGTATTACTATCTTATTAAAATTGCACCACAAAAATGTATCATAATCGATTGAAAACAATATTTCAACAAAGACCCCTGGGTATTCCAATGTTGCAAAATTTTGTTGGAATTTATATTCCAATAGAAAACAACACTAAAATATTCGGTTGGAATCAAATATATTTTTTGAATTCTAATTGAAATTTGATGATTCCAACAACTACTTTCCAACGGTTTATTGTTGTAAGAATTTCGATTGGAACACCTAACACACAATTTTTGTGGAATTTCTTCTAGCCGATTGTCCCAATTGTTTGAAAAATTATCGTTGAAATCCAACGAAATTCTGATGACTAATTAATTCCAATGAAATTCTGTTTGGAATTTCCGACATAATATAACATTGAAATATCCATTGAAATTGTCATTGGAATCCGTTGAAATGTATTATCATTTAAATACACTTAAATATACTATCATTTGAATTTGATCTTTTCTTGTAGACATGTATGGTTTTATAATTAATAAACTGCCTAAGTCATGTATCATTGTATAATTAATAGAGCTGCATACACCAAGAATGATATGTATTAACTACAAATCAAATGTTATTAGTTGAAATGCAACTTGGATTCAATTAATCTGTAGTGATTAAAAGCCCTATCTTGTTATTATTTCAACGTGTAAATATTTTTCTAAGAAGTATCATTGCTCCACAACTAATCCCTTTAGAGGAAATTACGTGGTGTACCATTCATTGCCAACTTTATTACATTAATACCACACACATATAATTATTTGCAAAGGAACAAAAGAAATATATTTTATTTGCAACTATACGAGGAAATTAATGTACAAGTTAATTATATAATAAATTTGGTAACATCAGTTTTTAAGGAAGTTATTACAAGTGATTTATCGCTCTCATCTTCTCTGCAAATACTACCCAACGACGGAGAAGGTGGAGAAGAAAGCTCTATCCCAAAAACCCTACTTACCCACAATCTTGTATTTGTATTTTAATTTCTTTTAAGCCTCTTCCGTTGCATTTTTTTCTTCCTTTTCTTCTCCGTAGTTTCTGGGTTTAATTATCATTGTCCGGAGTAGTTCGATTAAATTAAAAATGGGTGAACTTCTTCACGACGATTTGGGAATTGTGTTCTCTTCTTATTCTAAGGAGAATCTGGGTATGAATGTTGAAATATGTTTAATGTATGTGGAGTGTCCCGTCGATGAGCGGTGGCATCGCGCGAATCCACCGGGGATGGATGGAAAGACGATGGAGAAATCAGGGATCGGCGGCGATGAGCGGAGATCCGATTTTCTGCGCTAAGGTAATGGAGTTTTCTGTTTTAAGAACGGGAGTAGAAGATTGTTCCGGTTGGAGAGCGGGAAGGTGGTGGAGGGGCCGGAGGAGGAGGAGCCGCCGCGGAGGTGTTGCAGGAAAATCAAAGTTTTGGTTCGATTTTTTTAGGGTTTTTGGACTCTGTGTAATCAGTCAGTACATTAAAATCCGCCGATCAATCTGTACATTGAAATTAGTTTATGATCAGTATATGTACAGTATATACACAGTATATGTACACTCAACATATACTGAAAAACTACGAAGTGTAAACACAAGTAAATATACAGTATATGTAAAGTAAAATAAACAATATGTAAACTCAACATATACGCAACATAAACTAAAAAACTACGGAGTGTAAACACAAGTAAATATACAGTAAATATTATATGGCAACATATACAGTAAATATACAGTAAATATTATATGGCAAGTAAGGAAACAGAAATAACCAAACAATGGCTTCATGATGTCTACAATGAAATTTCAGAAATTAACATGAAGTGAGTAAACTTCAAATCTTGGTTTTGGTCATGTACATCCACCATTACCCAATATTACAACATCAAACATATGAAAAAGACATAAACTATCCAAAATAACCATCAGGCTCGCTTGACGACAACCACGCCATCAAACACTTTGAATATATGTTTCAAAATGCATATACTTGGGCGCCTTGTTCTATAGGACATTCAAAGGGGAGACATATCTTCCATCAACCTGGGCGCCTCGTTCTTCAGGATTAGCTCATCATTCTTGGGTCCCTCCAGTGACCCGGACCTGAAGCTATCGAGTTTGATCGGAAAAAATAGAAGGAAGCGAAAGATTCGAAGTTTCCAAGAGCAAACGCGGTCTGCGTGCGAGCCACGCCATCAGGCTCGCTTGATGCCGGTGGAGGGGGTGGAATATCTGGGGATGCTCCGTTCTTTTTCTTATTATAAATGTCTCCGGTTACGATAATTAAGGAACACAATCATTTTTATTTTGGTAACTGAATATTATGCATTTTGCTAATTATTTGCTTATGATTTGGTGTTGATGCAATTTTTGTTGCTTCAATCGTATATGTGCAATTATTTTCAAATCACACAAGCAAGGGTGTAAATTGCCCTTCTTTTTATTATAGGAATAATCTACCTGGGATTGTGCAATTGGAATGTCTCAAATTTGTATTATTAACTTGTCATAGGTTTGAATTTTGAACCAATGATGAGGAGTTTTTACTTTGTGCAACGGAGACACGTCTAGTACCAAAACTGATTAAATCATTAAATGAAATTTTTAGACACCAAAAGCGAAAATAAAATAAACTTCACATACGATATATGAAAATATTTCCTTCTTTTGGAATTTTATACTCTGTGTATTTTATTGAAACTTTTAAGAGAATAAATATACTTAGGACAGACATGAACAAAAACTCACAACAACTTCGTATATCACCAAACGATTTCAAATCGAAAATCACTTGCACACATCGAACGAGCCAAAGACTAAATAGATACGAATAATCTAATCGAAATCCCATCATCAACATCATCTCTGTTCATCTGATGAAAGGGTGCACAAATATCACAATAAAATAACACAAAAACACGCAAAACATCAATAACCGAACATTATGTTTAGTGAAGCTCATAATTTTTGTCGATTCGATGGTACAAAAGTATTGAGTTCAAATTCATGCTAAGTCACGATTTTCATGAGTGCAAATCTGCCGCGATAAGGTATAAATCCAATCAGGAAAATACTTGCCCTAAATGTAGCCTCAACACATTTTTAAATCAAATCTCACGACAAATTTGGAAAATACCAAGCACCAAAATCAAACTCTACTGAGAAAATTTTCAGTTTTCAGCTGCCAGCAGCAGCAGGCACAGCAACCGGCTTCGAGTCTTCAGCTTTCTCGTGTTCTTTGTTAAGCATCTGCATCGTTTTTTTTTTTACAAGAAAAAAAAACGCATATTATTTTTTTTTTTTCTCACCTTGTTGTTGATCAAATTGTGGAGTGCGATTACACTTCTGATTAGGGATGATAGGTATATAACTAACATCATGTCATTTGTTTTCACTGCCAAACGAAAAAAGAAGGAAAAAAATGAATTTTTTTTACTTATATCATGGAGTAAATAAATAGCCAATGATTCAAATTGTATCATCAGATTTTACCAGCAAAAGATTTGACGAGCTCAGTCACGTTAAGATTTGGGAGGAGATTGAACACATCCTGCATAAGTCGGGTACAATTTATCAAAGATGGAATCCATATGTGTGAGAATACTTTTGTGTTACAAATTTAATATTGGATTGCGAAAAAATGATACCTGAAGATGGTAAAGAATTTCATGGTTTAACGGGAGCTCCTCCTTAATAACCAGGTCAAGATAACTTCTGATCTCTTTCAACCTTGCATCTAACCCCTTCAAAGCAGCTAGTTTTCCAGTCACCTAAGACGAAAAATGGTTTTAAAACAAACAGATCTTTTTCCTCAATTACTATCTGAATTTAATATTTTCATATATTCATCAGGACTCGAGAAGAAGGGTAAGATGTTAAAATTTCAAAAGAACCTCGGTTGCAAGAGTGCTGACAGTTGTGTCCTTCACATCCCTTAGCAAGTGTTCGACTCCTATCATAATTCATTCACAATGAAACAAATGGGAACATAAAATAAGAAAAACCTTAAAAATAATGAAAATGGAGACGTTACACATTTTTCTATACAATGTGTGACCCTACCGATTTCTTCAACTTCATGAGCAGCAATTTCTGAAGGTACATGCACGAATATCTTCTGGCTTTTCTGAGTGGCATTCTGTAAATTCATACCAAAATATCATTAGATAGAGAATTGACGTAGTGAATTTCGTGACGTGGCACTTAAAGATGATAAATTTCCTCTTTCAAAACACCTCTCTAAGGATTCTTTTGATCTAAAAAAGAGCTCAGGCAGTGTAACTAAGTATTAAGCATGCAAAACTTTACTTCCTTATACCTCTTTAACTTCCTCAACAGCATAATAAGCTTTGGTAGGGATCCCGAGCTCTTTTGGCTGAACATCGACAATGACTAACAATGGAGTGGGAACATATCTGGAATAACAAGTAAGATTTCAT